AGAACGAGTGACACCCAGGGGCTGTGTATATATGTACACGTCTTGTGTGTGTGTGTGTCTGTGTGTGTCTGTGTGTGTGTAGTGGGGAGTGGTGGTGTAGCGGCTAGCACTACGCTGCGCTATGAACCTGGCGATCCGGGTTCGATTCCCGCTCACGGCCAACACCGGTGACGATTATCTGAACCGGTCCCGGGCCTCCCCTAGGTGGACTCAGCCTCAAATGAGTACCTGGTGCTATGTGTAAACATCGTCACTGGGGAGACAAAGGCGGCCGGGTGTGGTGCCTGACCACCCACCCACTCGTGTGCCGTGCCGGCCTTCATAGGTGCTCGCTAACAGCACTTGCCCCTACAGTCTGTTAAGTCTATACGAGGGATCTTTGTATTTGTCTTTGTAGTGGGGAGCGGTGGTGTAGCGGTTAGCGCTACGAACCTGGCGACCCAATTTCGATTCCCGCTCACGGCCAACACCCAGTGACGATTATCTGAACCGGTCCTGGGCCTCCCCTAGGTGGACTCAGCCTCAAATGAGTACCTGGTGCTATGAGTAAACATCGTCACTGGGGAGACAAAGGCGGCCGGGTGTGGTGCCTGACCACCCACCCCATCGTGTGCCCTGCCGGCCTTCATAGGTGCCGCTCGCTAGCAGCACTTGCCCCTACAGTCTGTTACAGACTACACGGGGGATCTTTGTCTTTGTCGACGTGGGGAGCGGTGGCGCAGCGGTTAGCGCACCGCTCTAACAAACCTCATCCGAACCGGTGCTGGGCCTCCCCTAGGTCGACTCAGCCTTCAACATTTTGTTTTGTTTTATTACATTTAGAACTGCGTTTTGTTGCGTTCAGTCTGTTGTCCTCCGAAGAGCACGATTGGCTACTGCACGGTGCGAAAGAAGTCCAATGGGTGCCACGTGTGGTAAGGAACCGGTCCTGGGCGTCCTCTAGGTAGACTCAGCCTTAAACATTCGCACAGAGGGCCTACGGTCTCTGGCCACTGCTGTCGCGCTAAGACGTTCAAACACCGAAGGGGCCGCCCATAAATGACGTCACGCGATTTTGGACGATTTTTGACCCACCCCCCTATTCGTCACACGACGTCACAAAAAGTCAGACCTCCCCCCTCCTCAAATATGACGTCACAAAGCTTTGCCCCCCCCCCCTCCCCCAAAAAAAAATATGCTTCAAATCGCTTAAAACTATTGTCACATTGTAGTTGCGTGTTTAATGTAGCGCTGCACTCTGATGTTGTAGGCGACAACATTTATAAAAAAAACTATATTTAATTAAGTAGAACGTGTTGTCTAAATTCGTTTAAAGTTACGCATTTTGACGTGACGTCACATTTCTCAAACACCTCGCCCCCCCCCCCTCCACACACACATCGTCACAAATGTCTGACCTCCCCCGCCCCCCCCCGCCCCCCCCGCCCCCCCCCAGGTGTGTGACGTCATTTATGGACGGCAAAACCTTTCGCAATTCATCAACGCACGCCACTGGCGGCGACCACGCACACGTACACACGCTCCGTTTCAAGCGGAGGATTTCGGCGATAGGGAACCATCATGCGCATGACGCTTAAGGTGCGTTGATTACCCCATAAACAACCCGCCCGCGAGCGGATATCAAGGCAGTAATTATAATATATATTGGTACACACACACACACACGCACACACACCCAAATATTCAAATATGCTTAAAATGCCACCCCCCACCACCATTCAATATATTGCTATGAAATAGATTTTTGTTGATATGATTGTGGTTATGGTTGTATTCTAGATTTGAAGCTTTCGTGACTGCAAGTATCCCATACTCTTTGGTTCTCTTCGGTAAAGTCACGTAGAAAAAAAACAACAAAAAATAAAAAAAATTCACGACGTTTCGGGCCACAACACGAGTGGCCTTCATCAGGTGAAGGGACCGGACTGTCCAGAGGATAGCGCTGGAGTGCTGTCCTCAAGACAGTCCGGTCCCTTCACCTGATGAAGGCCACTTGTGTTGTGGCCGAAACGTCGTAAATTTATTTTTTACGTGACTTTACCGAATAGAACCAAAGGTTATGGTTGTACTTTATTAATCCCTAATCTCTGCTGTTAACATACAATGATACAAGAAAATGTAAAAATAAATAAAAAACAGAGCAATGTAATACAATAACAGCATTAGACATTAATGTAAAAAAATAATAACATACAAGTCCGTCCTATGTGTTAGTGAATTTTTTAAATATTTTAGGCAGGAAATGAGTTTTATTCTTGGTTCTTTCGGTAAAGTCACCACGTAGAAGGGAAACAATAAAATAATACAAATATAAAACAATACAATTCTCACGACATTTCGTCTGCAACACAAGCAATCATCATCAGGTGTGAAAACCACAGCAAGAAATATTTTTTCTTTGCTGTGGTTTTGAGAATGTTATTGTTTTATATTTTAATTATTTTATTGTTTCCCTTCTACGTGGTGGTGACTTTACCGAAAGAACCAAGAATATGAATCCCTGCAGTCACGAAAGCTTATAAATCAAAACGAAATGAGTTTTTAAATTTAGATTTTTTTTCTGGAGGGGGGGGAGACCTCCAGACCCCCTGGAATATTTGGTCCCCCCCAACTTTGACTCCATGGCTACGGCATTGACGGATTCCCATAGTCATTCGCTCAAGAAGGGCTCACAAGTGATGCCATTACATCTACACCCATTCTATTAAAGGATGGAAACGGGAGGATTTGTCCAACGAAATTTGGCTCTCCGCCTGACGACGGCTGTTGTCATTGTTGGCGAAACGTCGTCCTCAGATTGCGAATGTTGTGGCTTTGCTCTCCAACACACAGCCGGTGTGCTGTGCTAGTACACTACACACTACACTACTATACACTACACTATACACTACACTATACACTACACTACTATACACTACACTATACACTACACTATACACTACACTATACACTACACTATACACTACACTATACACTACACTATACACTGCACTATACACTAGTGTTGTACTAGTACACTACACTATAGACTACACTATACACTAGTGCCCCAAGGGGCAAATCCTGTTAATCGATATGACGTCACGCACCTAATGGGGGGGGGGGGAGGGGTCAGACATTGTGACGATGTGTGACGAGGGGGGAGGGGGGGTTTGAGAAATGTGACGTCACATCAAAATACGCAACTTTAAATAAATAAAGACAACACGTTCTACTTAATTAAATATAATTTTTAATAAATGTTTTCTCCTACAACATCAGAGTGCAGCGCCACATTAAACACGCAACTACAATGTGACAATAGTTCAAAGCGATTTCAAGCATGTTGAATTTGATTATTTTTTTGGGGGGGGTGGGGGGCAGAGCTTTGTGACGTCATATTTGAGGGGGGGGGGGTCTGACTTTTTGTGACGCCGCGTGACGTATTGGGGGGGGGGTGGGTGGTGGTGGGGGTCAAAAATCGTCAAAAAATCGCGTGACGTCATTTATGGACGACCCCTAAACAGCATTTCCCCCCAACAGTCTGTGAAGGGTGTAGGGAGTGTGGGATGGGGTGTGGGAGACCTTTATCTTTGCCAGTAAAATGTGTAAATGCGTGTTTTAAATTGTCGTTTTTTTTTGTGTTACATTGTCAAGGTCCATAAAAGTTGTAAAGGATTAAGGGGTGCTGGGCGAGCGGAGGGGGCGAGGGGCGAGTTTTGCGAGGGGGTAGGAGAGGCGAAGGCGTTCAGCATCGATCGCTGTTTGTTGCCGACTCCCGTCGGCACGTGGTTGGAGGTCGTGGGGTTGTTGTTGTTGATGTTGATGTCACCTCCTCCTCCTCCTCCTCCTTCACCCCTCATGCCACCTCCTCCTGCTCGCACCTCCTCCCTCCTACAACCTCCTCGCCCTGATTCCCCACCTCCTCCTACCCCTCCCCCCACCCCTTTCCCACCTCCTCCACTCGCCCACTCCCCCCTGTGAGAAGTCTTCGCTGAGCTCACGGGGACGACATCCACTTGGCGAGGGTCCTGGCGATGGTGGTGGTGGTGGTGACGGTGGTGGTGGTGGTGGTGGTAGTGGGGGTGACGGTGCTGGTGATGGTGGTGATGTTGACGGTGGTGGTGGTAGTGGTGACGGTAGTGGCGGTGGTGGTGATGTTGACGGTGGTGGCGGTGGTGGTGATGGTGACGGTGGTAGTGACGGTGGTGGCGGTGGTAGTGGTGGTGGTGGTGATGTTGACGGTGGTGGCGGTGGTGGTGGTGTTGACGGTGGTGGTGGTATGGGTGGTGGTGGCGGAGGTGGTGGTATGGGTGGTAGTGGCGGAGGTGGTGGTACGGGTGGTGGAAGGGTGGTGGTACAAGTGACGGTGGCATGGGTGGTGGTGTGGTTGGTGGTGGTATGGGTGGTGGTATGGGTGGTGGTACGGGTGGTGGTGGTGGTGGTGGTACGGGTGGTGGTGGTAGGGTGGTGGTATGGTTGGTGGTGGTGGTGGTATGGGTAGTGTGGTTGGTGGTGGTATGGGTGGTGGTACAAGTGGTGGTGGTACGGGTGATGGTACAGGTGGTGGTGGTTGTACGGGTGGTGGTGGTACGGGTGGTGGTGGTAGGGTGGTGGTGGTACGGGTGGTGGTGGTAGGGTGGTGGTATGGTTGATGGTGGTGGTGGTATGGGTAGTGTGGTTGGTGGTGGTATGGGTGGTGGTACAAGTGGTGGTGGTACGGGTGATGGTACAGGTGGTGGTGGTTGTATGGGTGGTGGTGGTACGGGTGGTGGTGGTACGGGTGGACCCAGCAGAGGTTAACACACTCCTCTACAAACCGAGATCGATTCCCGCTCGCAACCAACACCAGTGAAGATTATCTGAACCGGTCCTGTGCCTCCGCTAGGTCGACTCAGCCTCAAATGAGTACCTGGTGCGGTGTGTGGTAAACATCGCCACTGGCGAGGAATCCGGATTCTTTGAAGCGGAAGAAGATGAAGAAGATAAATCACGTGAGTAATAATAGCAAGCAGAAGAAGATGAAGAATGAGATCAAGAAGATAAATCACGTGAGTAATAATAGCAAGCAGAAGAAGATCAAGAATGAGATCAAGAAGATAAATCACGTAAGTAATAATAACAAGCAAAAGAAGATCAAGAAGGAGATCAAGAAGATAAATCACGTGAGTAATAATAGCAAGCAGAAGAAGATGAAGAATGAGATCAAGAAGATAAATCACGTAAGTAATAATAGCAAGCAGAAGAAGATCAAGAATGAGATAAAGAAGATAAATCACGTAAGTAATAATAACAAGCAAAAGAAGATCAAGAAGGAGATCAAGAAGATAAATCACGTGAGTAATAATAGCAAGCAGAAGAAGATCAAGAATGAGATCAAGAAGATAAATCACGTAAGTAATAATAACAAGCAAAAGAAGATCAAGAAGGAGATCAAGAAGATAAATCACGTGAGTAATAATAGCAAGCAGAAGAAGATGAAGAATGAGATCAAGAAGATAAATCACGTAAGTAATAATAACAAGCAAAAGAAGATCAAGACGGAGATCAAGAAGATAAATCACATAAGTAATAATAACAAGCAAAAGAAGATCAAGAAGGAGATCAAGAAGATAAATCACGTGAGTAATAATAGCAAGCAGAAGAAGATCAAGAATGAGATTAAGAAGATAAATCATGTGAGTAATAATAGCAAGCAGAAGAAGAAGATCAAGAATGAGATCAAGAAGATAAATCACGTGAGTAATAATTGCAAGCAGAAGAAGAACAAGAATGAGATCAATAAGATAAATCACGTGAGTAATAATAGCAAGCAGAAGAAGAAGATCAAGAATGAGATCAAGAAGATAAATCACGTGAGTAATAATAGCAAGCAGAAGAAGATCAAGAATGAGATCAAGAAGATAAATCACGTGAGTAATAATAGCAAGCAGAAGAAGAAGATCAAGAATGAGATCAAGAAGATAAATCACGTGAGTAATAATAGCAAGCAGAAGAATAAGATCAAGAATGAGATCAAGAAGATAAATCACGTGAGTAATAATAGCAAGCAGAAGAAGATCAAGATTGAGATAAAGAAGATAAATCACTTGAGTAATAATAACAAGCAGAAGAAGATCAAGAATGAGATAAAGAAGATAAATCACTTGAGTAATAATAGCAAGCAGAAGAAGATCATGAATGAGATCAAGAAGATAAATCATGTAAGTAATAATAACAAGCAAAAGAAGATCAAGAAGGAGATCAAGAAGATAAATCACGTGAGTAATAATAGCAAGCAGAAGAAGATGAAGAATGAGATCAAGAAGATAAATCACGTAAGTAATAATAACAAGCAAAAGAAGATCAAGAAGCAGATCAAGAAGATAAATCACGTAAGTAATAATAACAAGCAAAAGAAGATCAAGAAGATAAATCACGTGAGTAATAATAGCAAGCAGAAGAAGATCAAGAATGAGATTAAGAAGAAAAATCATGTGAGTAATAATAGCAAGCAGAAGAAGAAGATCAAGAATGAGATCAAGAAGATAAATCACGTGAGTAATAATAGCAAGCAGAAGGAGAAGATCAAGAATGAGATCAAGAAGATAAATCACGTGAGTAATAATAGCAAGCAGAACAAGAAGATCAAGAATGAGATCAAGAAGATAAATCACGTGAGTAATAATAGCAAGCAGAAGAAGATCAAGAATGAGATCAAGAAGATAAATCACGTGAGTAATAATAGCAAGCAGAAGAAGATGAAGAATGAGATCAAGAAGATAAATCACGTGAATAATAATAGCAAGCAGAAGAAGATCAAGAATGAGATCAAGAAGATAAATCACGTGAGGAATAATAGCAAGCAGAAGAAGAAGATGAAGAATGAGATCAAGAAGATAAATCACGTGAATAATAATAGCAAGCAGAAGAAGATCAAGAATGAGATCAAGAAGATAAATCACGTGAGTAATAATAGCAAGCAGAAGAAGAAGATCAAGAATGAGATCAAGAAGATAAATCACGTGAGTAATAATAGCAAGCAGAAGAAGATCAAGAATGAGATCAAGAAGATAAATCACGTGAGTAATAATAGCAAGCAGAAGAAGATCAAGAATGAGATCAAGAAGATAAATCACGTGAGTAATAATAGCAAGCAGAAGAAGATCAAGAATGAGATCAAGAAGATAAATCACGTGAGTAATAATAGCAAGCAGAAGAAGAAGATCAAGAATGAGATCAAGAAGATAAATCACGTGAGTAATAATAGCAAGCAGAAGAAGAAGATCAAGAATGAGATCAAGAAGATAAATCACGTGAGTAATAATAGCAAGCAGAAGAAGAAGATCAAGAATGAGATAAGAAGATAAATCACTTGAGTAATAATAGCAAGCAGAAGAAGATCAAGAATGAGATCAAGAAGATAAATCACGTGAGTAATAATAGCAAGCAGAAGAAGAAGATCAAGAATGAGATCAAGAAGATAAATCACGTGAGTAATAATAGCAAGCAGAAGAAGAAGATCAAGAATGAGATCAAGAAGATAAATCACTTGAGTAATAATAGCAAGCAGAAGAAGATCAAGAATGAGATCAAGAAGATAAATCACGAGAGTAATATTATCAAGCAGAAGAAGATGATCAAGAATGAGATCAAGAAGATAAATCACATGAGTAATAATAGCAAGCAGAAGAAGAAGATCAAGAATGAGATCAAGAAGATAAATCACGTGAGTAATAATAGCAAGCAGAAGAAGATCAAGAATGAGATCAAGAAGATAAATCACGTGAGTAATAATAGCAAGCAGAAGAAGAAGATAAAGAATGAGATCAAGAAGATAAATCACGTGAGTAATAATAGCAAGCAGAAGAAGATCAAGAATGATATCAAGAAGATAAATCACGTGAGTAATAATAACAAGCAGAAGAAGATCAAGAATGAGATCAAGAAGATAAATCACGTGAGTAATAATAGCAAGCAGAAGAAGATGAAGAATGAGATCAAGAAGATAAATCACGTGAATAATAATAGCAAGCAGAAGAAGATCAAGAATGAGATCAAGAAGATAAATCACGTGAGTAATAATAGCAAGCAGAAGAAGAAGATGAAGAATGAGATCAAGAAGATAAATCACGTGAATAATAATAGCAAGCAGAAGAAGAAGATCAAGAATGAGATCAAGAAGATAAATCACGTGAGTAATAATAGCAAGCAGAAGAAGAAGATCAAGAATGAGATTAAGAAGATAAATCACGTGAGTAATAATAGCAAGCAGAAGAAGATCAAGAATGAGATCAAGATGATAAATCACGTGAGTAATAATAGCAAGCAGAAGAAGATCAAGAATGAGATCAAGAAGATAAATCACGTGAGTAATAATAGCAAGCAGAAGAAGATCAAGAATGAGATCAAGATGATAAATCACGTGAGTAATAATAGCAAGCAGAAGAAGATCAAGAATGAGATCAAGAAGATAAATCACGTGAGTAATAATAGCAAGCAGAAGAAGAAGATCAAGAATGAGATCAAGAAGATAAATCACGTGAGTAATAATAGCAAGCAGAAGAAGAAGATCAAGAATGAGATCAAGAAGATAAATCACGTGAGTAATAATAGCAAGCAGAAGAAGAAGATCAAGAATGAGATTAAGAAGATAAATCACGTGAGTAATAATAGCAAGCAGAAGAAGATCAAGAATGAGATCAAGATGATAAATCACGTGAGTAATAATAGCAAGCAGAAGAAGAAGATCAAGAATGAGATCAAGAAGATAAATCACGTGAGTAATAATAGCAAGCAGAAGAAGAAGATCAAGAATGAGATCAAGAAGATAAATCACGTGAGTAATAATAGCAAGCAGAAGAAGAAGATCAAGAATGAGATTAAGAAGATAAATCACGTGAGTAATAATAGCAAGCAGAAGAAGAAGATCAAGAATGAGATCAAGAAGATAAATCACGTGAATAATAATAGCAAGCAGAAGAAGAAGATCAAGAATGAGATTAAGAAGATAAATCACGTGAGTAGTAATAGCAAGCAGAAGAAGAAGATCAAGAATGAGATTAAGAAGATAAATCACGTGAGTAATAATAGCAAGCAGAAGAAGAAGATCAAGAATGAGATCAAGAAGATAAATCACGTGATATTTAAGTCCAAGCAGAAGATCAAGAATGAGATTAAGAAGATAAATCACGTGAGTAATAATAGCAAGCAGAAGAAGAAGATCAAGAATGAGATCAAGAAGATAAATCACGTGAATAATAATAGCAAGCAGAAGAAGAAGATCAAGAATGAGATTAAGAAGATAAATCACGTGAGTAGTAATAGCAAGCAGAAGAAGAAGATCAAGAATGCGATTAAGAAGATAAATCACGTGAGTAATAATAGCAAGCAGAAGAAGATCAAGAATGAGATCAAGAAGATAAATCACGTGAGTAATAATAGCAAGCAGAAGAAGAAGATCAAGAATGAGATTAAGACGATAAATAGGAAGATTTTTTGGGAAGACGATGAAGAAAACAAAGCTGATGATATAAAGAATGAGATCAAGAAGACTAACAAGAAGATGACATGGAAGATACATAGCGAGATAAATGAGAAGATACAAACTAAGATGAAGGAGGAGACGAATGGGAAGATACGGAGAAGATAATGGAGGATGAAGATGACGAAAAAATATTAATGAGAAGATAAAGAGGAAGAAATTAGTTAAAATAAAATAAGTAGGAAGATGTTGGGGAAGATGAGAAAAATAAAGAAAGACGAAGGAGAAAGAAAAAAAGATAACATGATGAAGAGAAAGATACAGGAGAAGATAAACGAGGAGAAGAAGAACATGAATAGGAAGAAGAATAAGAGGATAAGGAATAAGATAATGTAGGAATATTGCAGGCGTGTGGCGGTGCCGTTGAAGGCTGGACTCCGCGTTTAACTCCTCCTCGGTCTTTCGCTAAAGTCACGTGGGTGGAATATGAAAATAAAATGAAATTAAAATTTAAAAAAATAAATACAAATTACAAATAAAACAAAGAAAATAAAAATACGTTTCGATCGTGTTCCTGTTGAAATTTAATTATTTTTTAATTTTGATTCAAAGCTTTTCTTTTTTCAAATTTTCTTTGCCGTGTTTTTTTTGTTACACCTGATGATGATTGTTTGTGTTGCAGTCGAAACGTCGTGAGAATTTTATTGTTTTGTATTTTTACTGTTTTATTGTTTCCCTTCTACGTGACTTTGCCGATGGAACTAAGGATATATCTATAATTTTTTATTATTTTCGTTTTCTACCGACGTGAATTTACCGAAAGAACCCAGAATATCTTGTTTTTTTTATTTTATTTTAGTTCGAACGGTCTTCTCGAATGGTTCGTTTCGTTTCCAGATGAGATGCGAGGGTGATGATGGGTGGTGATTTGTGGTCGGGCGAGGGGCAAGAGAGCCGGAAACCCGCGGCTCCAGAGGAACCACAACCACCACCACTATCAACACTACTACCATCACCACCACTACCACCACTATTACCACCACTACTACTACTACCACTACTACTACCACTACTACCACTACTACTACCACCACTACTACCACCACTACTACCACCTCCAGTACCACCACTATTACCATCACCACCACTACTACCACTACTACCACTACTACTACCACCACTACTACCACCACTACTACCACCTCCAGTACCACCACTATTACCATCACCACCACTACTACCACTACTACTACTACCACCACTACTACCATCACCACCACTACCACCTTCACTACAACCTCTAGTAAAACCACCACTACCATCACCTCAACTACCACCACCACTAACATCACCTCCACTACCACCACCATCACCACCACTACTACCACCACTACTACCACTACTACCACTACTATTACCACTACTACCACTACTACTACCACCACCACTACTACCACTACTACCACCTCCACTATCAACACCACTACCACCAATACTACCACTACTACCACTACTACTACCACGGCTACCACCACTACTACCACTACTACTACCACTATTACCACTACTACTACCACCACCACTACCACCACCAACACTACTACCACCACTACTACCACTACTACTACCACTACTACCACTACTACCACTACTACTACCACTACTACCACTACTACTACCACCACCACTACCACCACCAACACTACTACCACCACTGCTACCACTACTACTACCACTACTACCACTACTACTACTACCACCACTACTACCACCACCTCCACTACCACCACTACTACCACTACTACTACCACCACCACTACCACCACCACCACTACTACCACTACTACTACCACCACTACTACCATCACCACCACTACTACTACCACCACCACTACCACCACTACTACCACTACGACTACCACTACTACCACTACTACTACTACCACTACTACCACTACTACCACCACTACTACTACTACCACTACTACCACTACTACTACCACTACTACCACCACCACTATCAACACTACATCCACCACTACTACCATATCCACCACTACCACTACTACTACCACCACCACTACCACCACCACCACTACTACCACTACTACTACCACCACTACTACCATCACCACCACTACTACTACCACCACCACTACCACCACTACTACCACTACTACTACCACTACTACCACTACTACTACTACCACTACTACCACTACTACCACCACTACTACCACTACTACCACTACTACTACCACTACTACTACCACCACCACTATCAACACTACATCCACCACTACTACCATATCCACCACTACCACTACTACTACCACCTCGACTACCACCTCCAGTAAAACCACAACTACCATCACCTCAACTACCACCACCACTACAATCACCTCAACTACCACCAACATCACCATCACCTCCACTACTACCACCACTACTACCATCACCACCACTACCACCACTACTACCACCTCCAGTAAAACCACCACTACCATCACCTCAACTACCACCACCACTACCATCACCTCAACTACCACCACCACTATCAACACTACTACCACCACTACTACCATCACCACCACTACCACCACTACTACCATTACCACTTCCACCACTACTACCACCACCATCATCCTCCACCACTACCACCACTACTACCACCACTACTACCACCACCTCCACTACCACCACCACCACCATCACCTCCAACACCACCATCACCTCCACTACCACCACAACTACCATCACCTCCACTACCACCACCATCACCACCACTACCACCACCTCCACTACCACCACTACTACCACCACCTCCACTAACACCACCTCCACTACCACCACTACTACCACTACCTCCACTACCACCACCACCACCATCACCTCCACCACCACCATCACCTCCACTGGCACCACCACTACCATCACCTCCACCACCACCAACACCACCATCACCTCCACTACCACTACCACCACAACCACCACTACCACCACTTCTACCACCACCTCCACTACCAACACTACCACCACCTCCACTACCACCACCACCACTACCACCACTACTACCACCACCTCCACTACCAACACTGCCACCACCTCCACTACCACCACGACCACCACCACCACTACCACCACTACTACCACCACCTCCACTACCAACACTACCACCAACTCCACTACCACTACCACCACCACTACCACCACCTCCACTACCAACGCTACCACCACCTCCACTACCAACGCCACAACTACCACCACCACTACCACCACTACTCCCACCACCTCCATTACCAACACCACCATCACCTTCACCACCACCATCACCTCCACTACCACCACCACTACCACCACCACCACTACCATCACCTCCACTACCACCACCTCCACTACCACTACCAACATCACCTCTAATACCACCACTACTATCACCACTACCACCACTACTACGACCACTACTACCACCTCCACTACCACTACCACCACTACTACCACCACCTCCACTACCACCACTACTACCATCACCACCACTACCACCACCATCACCATCACTACCATCACCTCCACTACCACCACCATCACCACCACTACCACTATCACCTCCACCACCACCATCACCACCACTACCATCACCACTACCACCTCCACTAGCACCACCACTACCATCACCTCCACTACCACCACCATCACCACCAATACCACCACCTCCACTACCAAAACAACCATCATCTCCACTACCACCACCACCACTACCACCACCACTATCACCTCCACTACCACCACCACTACCACCACTACCACCATCACCTCCACTACCACCACCACTACCACCACTAGCACCATCACCTCCACCACTTCCACCACTGCTACCACCTCCACTACCACCACCACCACCATCACCTCCACTACCACCACCATCACCACCACTACCACCACCTCCACTACCACCACTACTACCACTACCTCCACTACCAGTAACACCACCTCCACTACCACCACTACTACCACCACCTCCACTACCACCACCACCATCACCTCCACCACCATCACCTCCACTGGCACCACCACTACCATCACCTCCACCAACACCACCATCACCTCCACTACCACCACCACCATCACCTCCACCACCACCATCACCTCCACTAGCACCACCACTACCATCACCTCCACCACCACCAACACCACCATCACCTCCACTACCACTACCACCACCACTACCACCAACACCACCACTACCACCACTACTACCACCACCTCCACTACCACTAACACCACCTCCACTACCAACACTACCACCACCTCCACTACCACCACTACCACCACCACCACTACCACCACTACTACCACCACTTCCACTACCAACACTACCACCACCTCCACTACCACCACCACCACTACCACCACTCCTACCACCACCTCCACTACCAACACTACCACCACCTCCACTACCACCACTACCACCACCACCACCACTACCACCACTACTACCACCACCTCCACTACCAACACTACCACCACCTCCACTACCACCACTACCACCACCACCACCATTACCACCACTACCACCATCACTTGCACTACCAACACTACCACCACCTCCACAACCACCGCCACCACTACCACCACCACCACCACTACCACCACTACTACCACCACCTCCACTACCATTACCACCACCACCCCCATCACCTCCACCACCACCATCACCTCCACTACCACCACCTCCACTACCACCACCACTACCACCACCACTACCACCACTACCACCACCTCAACCTCCACCACCATCACCACCACCATCACCTCCACTACCACCACCACCACCACCATCACCACCACTACCACCACCACCATCACCTCCACTACCACCACCACTGCCATCACCTCCACCACCACCACCACCACCACCATCTCCTCCAGCACCATCGCCTCCACTACCACCACCTGCACCACCATCACCACCTCTCTACCACCACCACCACTTCCATCACCTCTAACACCAGCACCACCTACACCTCCTCCACTACCACCACCACTAACATCAGCACCACCTACACCTCTTCCACTACCACCACCATCACCACCATTACCACCACCACCACCATCATCATCTCTACTACCACCACCTCTAACACCTCCATCACTACCACCACCATCAC